GCTCTCAATCTCCTTTACAGAAAGAAAATCCGGTGTTTCGCATTAAAGGCAGCCCAAAGGGCACAGTCCTTATTCCTGGTATGCTTTTATTTGGAGAAAAAAGCATGAAAGGTTGACTTCCAATGATGATAGCTTAACAGCAGACAAACATAATTCCTGTTGAAAAGAGAAACTTACTCTCCCTGAAACAGTCCAAGGCCTTCCCAAACTGATGACCCAAAGTTGGAGGCATATTATTGTCTCAAATATCACCGTACGCTGCGGCTGAGATTTAATTTCATTGTAGCTAAGGCTCCTTGACCACACCTCGGCAAACTAGTCCAGAATATATTAATATCTGTACAGCATACTGGTTAAGCCACTTGAGCCACATACATCAATTGTGATATTTGGCTAAATAAATAATATTGACAAGACACAGACGCCGACACAAACACACATATTCTATTGTCATGCCTTTCTTTGTTTGGTGTAAACTACTATAGATATCTGTGCACTGTTCGTCTCTTCTCCCTTCATTGTGTTCTCTTCTATGTAATCATGTAAAATGCATCTTAAATAGCTCTCTATTTCATACTCTGATGAGGTTACTCAGTGGACATTGGCTCAACAATGAGTCAGAATACATGTTTATGCAGGCGCATTCCATACAGCCAGTTTACCAATAAGTCAGGCTTAATTTGGCTAGTCTGAATCATTTTCAGTTGATTTGGTTACAAAAAGCTAATTCAACATCGTTACGGGGCAGGCTAGCTGTCCAGTAAGCCAGAGATGTTGCTTAACCAGACTTCATGTAACTCCAGAAGGCAATGATTCTACCACTGACCTTCTGGAGTAATGCCATATTATTTGACCTTATTAATCACTATCAGTCAAACAATTTAACAAATCAACTTAAGTAAATATTTAATCAAATAGTTAAATTATAATGAATGTAATTGATTCATAATGATTTATATTCATAATTATAAAGCTTAACTTGTTCATGGTTGGTGTAAAACAAATGTTGTACATAAGCAATAGCATACTTCATCCATTGGATTACAGTTGAATTGAATTCAATTACACTTCAGATTTTGCCTGATGTGAGGCATTAATGTGTGTCTATTCAGGCACTTATTATTCGGAGCCAAATTGGGAATTTTCTAGTGTAAATTATGATGGGACCCCTTATGGAAAATAATCACTGCAAATATTTCCCATCAAGACGATTCAAACCGACAGCGATGCAAATTTGCAACAATTTTTTTAGATCAGCGCAGGCAGAGGACCAACGACCAGGATCCTATTGACCAGAGCAGCATCTGTCAGTCTGTCTGAGGTAAACTGTTCTGAATCTTTAGTAAGGAATCCAAGTTCTCTCTTGTAAAGTTACACAGGGCTTTTATTGTGAAAGGTCAGAACAGAAGTGGATCTGGTCTGTGCTGACTTTGTCAAGGATGGAAGGAGAAATAAAGTGTGCAGTCTTGGCTCAGGCTACAGAGCCTCCGTGTTGTTGTACACTATGATTGGTTAATGTCTTTATTCACTGTGTGAAAGCTCAGAAAAATCAACCTCGTTCCAAAAGAAAATCCTTTTTAAATGAATATTCACAAAAAATTAATATTCACTAAAAATATATTGACTGGCAAAACAACGGCCCCGGTATGTAAAGGCCTTAACATACGAATAATGATACAAACTGTATTTACATGTTATCAACTGGTAGTAACTATAATGCCTCAGACATATTTTCCGTGTTCCGTATCCACAGACAGCTGTGCACTTGTACCGGTCACTTGCATTTGGCTCCATTACTGCAATTAAGGATCCGCATTGTCTGATGCGTGTGCATTTCTTGATCCATACTCCATTCCAGTTGGTAGAGGTAATGCACCATAATGTTGTTTGCCAGGAGTGGTTTCTTTGTATTTCTTTAAAGAGAAATAATATACATGTGGGTGATGGCGGATCTCCACGCACAATCTTTCTTCAAAACAAGCATTCACTTTCTTTCTTCTTGGCATACAAGCTAGACGTGCATATGCCATCAACTGAATTTTTACATTTACGGTAAATGGTATATAGACTGTACTTGTATAGCACTTTTATAGACTTACAACCACTCAAAGTGCTTTAACACTACATGTCATTATTCACACACATTTACACACCCTAGGCACAGCTTACAGAAGCAATTTGGGGTTAAGTGACTTGCTCAAGGACACATCAACATGGACTAGTGGAGCCAGGGATTGAACCGCTGATCCTCTGATTGAAGGGCGACCCGCTCTAACTGAGCCACAGTCGGCCACAGAACAAAAATGGAGCATGCGCAGTCGGCGCGCATGCTACACGTAGAGTCCGTTCTGTAGTCCTTTACATCAAGCGGACCAAAGCGAACACTCATGGACACGCAGACGTGGAAAGAATGAATTGGCCTTTTCTACGATATGACTTGAATATCAGATTGGATTATGCCTAAATATATAAAACCAATTGCTCTGGCAACCATCAACAGGTACAAGTCAGTCGGTCCATATGAATACAAAATATAAATACATTCGTAAAATAAAGAAACCTCATGTGCACATGTGCCATTACACACCGTCTCTGCTCTGACTTTATGCGTCACAGCTGACATGTTTATGTGTCTGCTGGGCACAAAATGTGAGCTGGATGGGAACCACATGAAAGGTTTTGTCATTGAACTCTTTGCATTCGTAAGTCAGTTGATGTAAACGGACAAGTCCGACAGCTAGATCATGGTCTGCTCTTAGAAATTTTGGGTTTTGAGTTTCATGCTTTCTGCTTTATTATTGAACATAGCAGCAGCAGCAGCAGCAGCAGCAGCGGACGTGTCTCTCACACACTAAAGAAATCTCAGCGCAGAGAGCAGTCAGTCATGCATTTAAATGCTTAACATGGGTTTTACCAGAAGGTTCTTCACATTTTTTTTGTTCTGTTACAATGGCATAATTATTAGATGTTTAATCTAGTTTAATCTGGTCACTTTTTGTCAGAATAAATCTATCCTCTCAAAAGCAGGCTGCGTGGCTCCAGATATAGCAATGCCTGTTGATTAGTCCACCACTTTGGAGACCAAAATATCTCAACAGATATTGAATGGACCACCATTCAACTAGTAACTAGTATCACAATTTAATCTGATTAGTACAATAACAAAGTCTACATCCAATGCTAGTGGCATTGTGAGGCTGTCCTTTGAGCATATTCCAACATCAGTATGCTAATGACTTGCATTCTTACATGTGCTAAACAGCATTAAACACAAAGTAGAGCTGAGGCTGATGGAAATGTCATGCGTTTTGAAAGTATTTGGTCATAACCCAAAGGATTGGACAAATTCAAACGTTGACCCGATGGCGCTAGATGAAAGGTTGAGGGATGAACAGTTTAAAAAATATATCCTCAGAATGATGTGAATGCGTTTATCAAATTTCATGGCAATGTAAATATTGCACGCAAAACCAATATTTGCTGCTGGTGGTGCTATGGGGAAAAAGTCAGGGGAACACTAAAGGTAATTGGGATTCAGCATAACTGTCTGAAACACATTTTGTGTAAATCCACCCACTGGATGTTCAGATATTTCACCGGGAGTGGCAACTTTGATATGCTGCTGGCACCAGAGGGTTAAGTCTACCTAAATAAACTACCAATGAAAGTAAGACTGGATGACTTTTTAACGTGACAAATCAGTAGGAAGTTTACATTCAGTTGATGATACCTTTACACTGATGGAATAACTGGAATGAATTGTCAAAAAGTGAAAGTGAGCAAATGAGTGAGTAGCACATGACATGTTTGTTGATGAAGTTAGTGCCGCGGAAATGTACATTATAATAATTTTATCACAACAACAAGTAATGGGGAGTACGTTTAGAGTTTGCATTAACTGGGGAACAGGCACAACTAGAAGTAAAGGCTCATTCAAGTCTGTTCCAAATAAAGGGCTTCTTCTCTCTGCAGTTCAGGTAAATAAAGATCATATCCACAATTTGAGAATTTTTTGGTAAGTAGGTCAAGGTGTATACATTGGATGGATGGGTGTATGAATGGCATAGTTACATTGGTCATTGTAACTGTTACAATGACCAATGATACCCTTGATGGCTGAACAAACACAAAGAACACTGGCACCCATGGAAAACCTAACTTCTCCAAACTGGTACATAATACATCTAAGAACATACAGACAAAAGAAATTGATTGATCAACGACCTCAGAAAATGGCAACATCACCACAAACATGAGCAAAAGGTGAAGGCAGAATAACCAACAAATGGAGATCATCACATTGACTCATCAACTTTTTAGTTGGTCTTAATTGGCTGCATTTGCACATGGAAAAACGAATCTTGTTTTACCAAGGGATTTACACATTTTACTGCTTTGGGTCACTGAGAAAGTCCCATCTCTGACAGAAAAGAGTAGAAATACCCCACTCTTAAAAAAAAAATCCACAGTTAAGGGTGAATGTTTAAAAAAATCTGCATTCATCCAGTTTCCTAGTCTGCATGTAAGACAGCAGAGAATTGATCACAGTCCTCAGTGAAAATGATTCCTTTTAAGCTCTGCTCTGCCTGGAGTCAAACTCCACCAATACACTGGCTGATAGGGCTATAGGTGTGAGTGTGTGTGCCAACAGTCAGCATATGTGCAGTCCTACAAAGAATATGCTCTATGGCCAAAACCACCAGCTTCACATATGGAGCGAATTCATCAACACACATACACACGTTCTCAAATAATGCACACACAATGGACACATCTCTCTCACACTCACACACACACACACACACACGTGGAGAGTATACTGTACCAATTGCAGGGACTTTTTCTATCACACATACACTCATACAAAGAAACAGCTGCAGTAGCTAAATAGCATTTTCTCAGCACTGAAGCTGGAATTTAAAAAAAAAAAAGATACAGACGGAGAGAAGAAGGAGATGAGTGCAAAACAAAGAAAGACAGGTAGAGATGATGGTCTTTACCTAGAGCAGACGGATGTGTTCGGACTCCCCCTCCTCACGCTATGTGACTCTCATCTGTCTGTTTCCCTCTCTCTCGATTCCGCTCACTGCCCGCCACTGTGGACAAGCAAGTGTGTATCTCTCTCTCTCTCTCTGTGGTTATAGCACTGAGAATAAAAGACTACCTCTGTTCAGACGGTCACCACCTCTCTCTCTCTTCACTCTGTCCCCTCCTTCTCTGCTCTATTTCCTAATCTCTCTCTCTCGCTCCCCCATTTGGTTTAATCTCCTCTCTCGTTCCCTCTCTGTCTTGGTATGGGTGCATGTGTATATATATTTTTCTCACTCTGCTTGCTTGCAGCCTCTGCGTCTCCAAAGTGAGACCACGATTGGCTGCTGCAACTAAATATGTACATACATACATACATACAGTACGAAGACACACACACACACATTGTAGACCAGTAAGCTACACACGTAAAAACACGTAAAGGTTTTTATGATTGGTTTCACATGCTCATTTCTGCAGTTTGCTCACACTCCTCTCTCTTCATCCCTCACTATGTTGGTGGGTGATGAAGAGCAATATTGAAGATCTGGAGGGATGAAATGTTGAGCTGAACTTCTGATGAGCTCACTGGGAAGAATGGTTGTGATGGAGACGGCGGTGAATGGGTTGGAGGAGGCTCACATCCATCTGATGAGAATTCGAGCTGACAGCAGCAGAAAAAGGAAGTTTTTAACTTCAACAGCAATGAGATGATTGGCTCACAGAGGCCGTGGTAGAATCTGATTGGTTTAAGTCGTTAAATTGAGTAAGCATGAAGTTTTCATCATTGAACTTAAACTAAGCTTCATATTTTAGTTGAGTCAGTGGATTTTCGTTTTTAATCAATTCAGTGTGTCTTGGATCCATTCTTAGCTCTAAGATCAGTAATTGTTCTGGGTACACCCAGTGATAAAAAAAAAAAGAATTTCATACCACAGTGGTGGATTCAAAATGAGGGAGGATTTTACCAATAACATGTACGTGTTTTTACTCCAAAACTATTGAACTGATGTTAACTACACTGCATTTATGTCCAACACGTCTCACTTTATTATTTATTTTAAGAAATGTAACATTTAGATGCAAATATCTATAGAGAATTATGAGACCAGCAACATACGAGGATTCAAATCAGTGGTGGGCCGGCAGGGCCAGCAAAGCCTTCCCTGCTGGCCTAAACAGAATCAAAGTTATAGCTATTTTATGATTAAATAATTTTTCACAAATACACGACAATTTTTTTTCCCATTAGCTTATTTTCTCATTTCACAGCTACTGCCTTCCTCAGTTGCTCTGCTTCCAGCCTGCAGCGCTGCTTCCAGTGCAGCTTGTTTGAAGTAGAGCTTTTATCCAATCAGATTTCACCTCTGTGTCTCTAGGTATATACATATATATATATATACATATACATATATATATATATATATGCATATACATATACACATACACACATATACACATACACACATATATATACACATACATATACACATACACACATATACACATACACACATATACACATATACACATACACATACACATATACATATACACATATATATACACATACACATATATATACACATACACATATATATACACATACACATA